GGAGTCCAAACTTGAGAGGAAGAGTAGAGAGATGAAGAGGTCTAGGTCCGATGAACAAAGTCAACAAACGTCCAGAAAGAGGTTCTCCAACCAAGATTCTTAAATGGTGAACAAGAATAGGGTGTCTAACCCTAATTTTCAAGGAGGAAATGGAAGTGGTTCTTCTTTTGAGAGGCCTAGATGTGCCAAGTGTGGGAAACAACATTTGGGTAAGTGTCTTGCCGGCACGGATGTGTGCTTTGGGTGTGGAAAGAAGGGTCATAAGATGAGAAATTGCCCAAAACTCTCGGTGAAAGAGAGAGAGACCAAACAAGCTTCTCTTAAAGGCCCGGATCTTGATGTTCCAAAGTGGAACCATTTCTATACTCATCAAGCTAACAAGGACAAATGAGCTTATCCGGATGAAGGTACCAATAAATGATAGTTCCTTTTGGTTTTGAATGTCTTGTTAAGGTTCTTATGTTGTTTTTCATGTTAGCCTTAGTTGGGTTTTCTCCTAAGTGGGGGATAGTATGTTGAATAGTAAGGTTGTTGAGAGTTTTGATATCCTTATCTCTTTCCTTCTATTCTTATTCATGCTTGAGACAAAGAGTTCCTTGTAGCTTGTTTCATGTTTTGGAGTCATATGTGAATATGTGTTTCCATGGTCTCCTTATGTTATGCATGTTCTTAATGAGTTTATGTTTGAATGAGAAAATATGTTTTTATGAACTATGTTCCTCTTGTTGATATGCATTTAGTATGAGTTGTCTATATGCTTCATGAGGTTGAATTGTTGAACATGCCTAATGTCCTTTTATGATGAAATTGCATAGTATGCTTAATGATGTTGTGATGAGCATGATGTGAGTTGGAGAAGGTGATTCCATCAATGTAATGAGAAATGTTGAAGTTATGTTGCTTAATAAGTTTGTAGAAGTAGTTCCTACTTTCTTATGTTGCATTGAGCTTATTGATATGGAGTTGATGTTTCCACCTAGTTTTGTCCAATGCTTATGATGTTGCATGCATGATGAGCTGCGAGTCTTGAGTCGTTAGCCCTTAATGAATTTTAAGTGTAATCAAGAGGCGAATGTTCCTAAGTGGGGGATAATGTAACCACTCGCAAAATGATAGGTTGAACTAGAGCCTCATCATGTGGGTTAGTGTAACCTTAAGTGGATGTCTATATGATGACCCTAAAATGAAATAGGATGAACTAGAGCTTCACATGTGTTTTGGAAGTTGGCAATTTGTAAAAATGAAGAGTTTTGGCTTTTAAGGTTTAGTTTGAAGAGTTTTGAGGTCGAACGTCAAGGGATGACCATGACGTTCGGAGACTAGTCTTTTGAGCTAATCTGTTTTAGTGGTGTAATGTGGCCCTAGTCTTGTTTGAAAAGGGGTTTAAGGAGTCAACGTCAAGACACGTGTTAGACTCTATACTATGAGACCTACTCTAGGTTGGTTGAGGGTGCTAGACACGGAGCCAAACCAAAAGGGGCAAGCCTTAGCCAAAAAGACAAGGCTGGCCCAAGTTGGCCGCTCACTGCCCCAAAGACCAAGGGCACCACCACAACCAGTGGTGCCCTAGACGGTCCGTATTCTTGGGCGTGAAGATCAGTTGGTCTCAAGGAGGCAAGGCAACTTTGCCTAGGTGCTGCCTCATCTTCACGAGCTCTACCATGACTCGTTGTGTGTACCACGAATCGTGGGAGCCTCCATGAAGATTCCTTGGGCCCTTGAGGGCTTGACATGGTAGAGATACCCATTGGTCAAGGGACCACGGGAACCACCACGAGCTGTGGTGCCCTTTACGACCCGTCCAAGTGGGCGTGGTCCTTGACGGGGCTGCCTCATTTAGGGGCTTTTGGGTAATTTCTTTTAAATGTTTTTATTATGTGGGGTTGGTTTTAAATGGTTTATATCCTTACTATAAATAGTTTTAAATCTTAAAACCTTCTTTTTACTCCTTATTTCAATGACCCTAATCAAAAACTCCAAAGTTCTTCTCTCTCTATATTTCTCTCAAGCTCAAGGAAGAAGAAGGTGTGGGAGGCTAGGATTTCGAATTCAAGGTTTCCTCCATCAAATTTCTTGGGCATTATTGATAATAAGGTATGGTGGCTCTTCATCTAGTACTCATCTTCATCCTAGAGTTAATTTCATAGGATTTTACAATGTTTTCAAAAAGTGACTTAAATCTTGTTTTGAATTCTACCAAGGGTTCTTGCATGAAAATGATTTGAAACGTTTGGATATGGATCAATTGATGTTTGTTTGTGGTTTTTGAATGAAATTCTCCATGAACCCTTGTCTTCTACAAAACCCTAAAATTTGTTATGAAATAGGTCTACTTCTATAAATTCAAAGTTGATGGAATTATGTGTAAAGTGAATTGTATTGATATCTCTTGTGTTGTTTAATGTTTATTCATGATTAATTGTTGATAATAGGTGAATTAAGGATGGTAAGCCTTATGGGTGAAGTAATGATGATGGCTTGGATTTTAGTGATTTTGGCTATGGCTTTGGATTATGGTAAAAAAGCTTGAACTCTCTTTATTATATTGATTGTTATTGGTAGGTTGAATCCACCATTGGTGGAAGTGTTATATCTTATTCTTGTGTGGTATTTTTGTGAATTGAGGCCATGAAGGGCATTATATGAGTGTTATTATGTTGTTGTATTATTGTACACATATGAGGCTATATGTAAAGTCTTATATGAAGATATATGTAAAGTTTGTGTGAAGCTATAATGTGATGATGTTCTAATGGTATTAATCTGATATTGTATAAAGTGTTATTATGCTAATGTGAAAGCATGTTTCTTTTGAAATTGTGATATGTGGTGATGATGTACTATGATGAGTCTTTATAAGATGATGTCATAGCTCATATGCTAGACTTGATTATCTTGTCTTGTGTCATGAAAGCTTGATTATATATGTGAATGTTTGGTTAGGGTATGACTTAGTAATGGAGCTCTTCCTATGAATGCTAAAAGGGGAATTCTAGGCCAAGACTTGAATTGGTAGACTTAAGCATAGTGCCTTTTTCATTAGTCTAGCTTTCGTAAGCAAATGTATAACCTTGAAGGATGGTCCTTAGGGTGATGTTCACTCCTTGAGTGAAATGATAGACTTAGAGATGGATGTAGCTGGAACATAATGAGAATCCTTATCTAAGAAAGTCAAATGAGCTATCCTTATGAACCTAGATTGTCTATGACTAAGAAATGGGGCCTTTCTTGGGAAGAGGTACTTTGAGTTGGTTGAACTAGAAAAGGAACCCTCTCTAGTACACATATGTGAATGAAATTACTCTGTGGAAACCAAGGATTAGCACTGAGTGGATGTGGTTAGGATGGTGGCCAAGTTAAGCTTGAGATGAGACACACTGAACATCCTTGGACATCTCTTAAGCCATGGGCCAACATGGGTTGCCTTTAGTTCTACCCTTGGCAAGTAGAACAGCCTCCACGGAGTAGGATACACTCCGGATTCCATAACTTTCTAGTGTGGTCTATGTCGGTTAAGGCCTATTTCCATCATATGGGATGTGCACTCTAGTATTGGATAGGTTCTACAACGTGTAGGTAGTAGTATAGGATGCTATCTACACATGGCACGAGTAGGCTTAGAAGATGCTAAAGTGAGTTCCCTAAGCCTTAGGGCTATTATGTGTTTGACCCCTATATGTTTGTGTGTCTCTTAAATGGTTTTATAAAGAATGTTGGCTTAGTATGTTATAATGTAATGATAAAACCTTTGTCCATGGTAACTCTTAGGAATACTTAGGTGTATATGAAGAGGTTGTATGGGCGGTCACTTTATTATTCACTTAAGTGTGGCTTAGGGAGACTTGAGATATATGCTTAAATGGTTATGAAGGAATTACTTTGCTATCTTGTTTAAGAATTGTACACTTGTGTTAATTGAGTTGTAAATGAGGTGAATATGGTCTTATTTATGAATGGTGACTTGAAATGTGGGTTTACACTTGTGGTTGTAAAGGTTTGTTAAAAAAGGTCATTAAAGCATACATTCCTTGTAAATGTCCGTTGTGCATGTTTTCTTGCATGGTCATCATACTTAGTACTTATTGTACTAATTCTATATTTCTCTATTATTACTAGTGTAGGTGGTGGAAAGTGAGGAGATCCTTTGAGGAAGCTTGGGATATTGACTCTTCTCAAGAATCTTGGTATGTCCTCATATATTCGAGGACATAGTTGTTTTCTTTCTAGTATTTCCATTTATACATTGTATAAGACTTATATTTTTCTATTGTTGTAATGGGTCGTGTCCCTAAGATGTTCTATTTGTGTCTAAGATGGTACATGAGACTTAGAAATTCTGCTTCTTTACATTTGAAAGATTTTATGAGTATTATGGATTTGTTTTAAAAAGTGTTTTTATTCCTTACGATTTTTATTACCTAATGCTATGATTGATTACTAAGGGATAGTATTAGACCTCCAAGAGGTCGAGTACGCATGTTACGACTTGGGGTGCTCTCGGGTCATGACAAACTGGGTATCAGAGCATAATATTTTGGAAATTGTCCCTTAGGATTCAAAGTCTCATATGCCATGCCTAGTAGAGTCTTGTTCATCTGTAAAGTCGCGACACATCTATGAGTGAGAGGCTATAGAACGGTAGAAGTTTCACTTCTTTCATTAATCTTGATGTCGTTCCTTAAAGTTTGGTCTATAAGTGTACTTTTCCTAATCATTCCCCTGTGTTTATAGGAAATGAATACGAGGGCTAACCCGAGGAGAGCGGAAGAAGAAATTGGAAATAAGGAAGTTCCTCTCCAAGATGTTCAAGCTGGCCAAGTCCGTATGGGTGAACAAGAGAATGAGGTTTCGGTTGATCCCCGACCATGATTAATGAAGAGATTAGGGTGGCTTTTCTAACCCTAGCTCAAGCCATGACGACTCAAGCTAACCGAGATGTGGGGCCTAGGGTAAATGCTAATTAGAGTACCGCGGCCCCAAGATTGAGAGACTTCGTGAGGATGAATCCTTCTATCTTTTTGGGCTCTAGAATTGGAGAAGATCCCCCAGGATTCTTGGATGAGATTTTCAAAATTGTGGATGCTATGGGTGTATCTTTTAGAGAGAAAGCGGAATTGGCTTCATACCAATTGAAGGAGGTGGCCCAAATTTGGTACACTCAATGGAAGGCAAATAGGCTGGAGAAAGCGGGTCCTATAGAATGGGAGGAGTTTAAGGAATCATTCTTAGGTAAGTACTTTCCCCTAGAGAAAAGGGAGTGCAAAATTGAGGACGTCATTAATCTTAGGCAAGGTAATATGAGTGTGGAGGATTATGCTTTGAAGTTCTCTATGTTGTCTAGGTATTCTCCATCTTTGGTGTCTAACCTTAGAGAGGAGATGAGTAGGTTTGTTACCGATGTATTTGACTTGGTGAAAGAGGAATGCCGTACGACAATGCTCCATGGTAACATGAACATCTCTAGGCTTGTTGTGTGTGCTCAATCTATAGAGGAGTCCAAGATGACTAGGATGAGGAAAGACCTAAAAAGGGGTAGGTATGAGGATAAACGACAACCTAGGTTTAAGAAGAGGGCTCCAAATTAAGATTTCTCAAGTGGTCCTAAGGTTAACCATGAAGGAGGTGGTGGTTCTCAATTTGCTAAGCCTACTTGCTCCACTTGTGGAAAGAAGCATTTTGGGAAGTGTCTAGCCAGTACTAGTGGATGCTATGGTTGTGGGAAGAATGATCACAAGGTGAGAGATTGTCCCACCCTCACGGCTAGACGAAGGGAGGCCAAGCAAGCATCACATGGTGGCCCAAATCTTGATGATCAAAAGAAGACTCGTTTCTATGCTCTCCAAGCTAACAAGGAGGCCAATCCGAATGGAGGTGCCGGTAAGTTATAGTTCCTTCATTTTGTGATGAAGTCCTTATGTGTTGTTCATGATAGTCTAGTTGGGTTCCTTCTAAGTGAGGGATGGTCTATTGAATAATAAGGTTTTGAGAGTATTGATGTCCTTGTCTCTTTCCTTCTATTCTACTCAAGCTTGAGACTTAGAGAGTTTCTAGTAGCATGATGCATGTTTTGGAGTCTAGTAAAATGAGTTTTCATGGTCTCCTTATCTTATGCATGTTTTCATGAGTTTATGTTTACATAAGAAAAAGAGCTTTAATAATTTTGTCCCTCATGTTGTTATGCCTCTAGGATGAAATGCCTAAATGTGTATTCTTGAAAATGTTGCATAATTGTGCTTTTATGGGAAATTTGCATGATGTCTAAATAATATTGGTTGGAGAAGGAAGTTCCTCCAATTTAATGAGAAAAGCTAAGTTTTTATGCATAACGAGTTTGTAGATGTAGTTCCTACCTTCTTTTTGTGTTTTGAGCTTTTTATGTGGAGTTGATGTTTCTCTTAACTATGTGAATCATTATAATGTTGAATCCATGATTGTGGGATGCTAGTTTTGAAGTCATTACCCTTTATGGTTGTAAGTGTCATTCGAGGATGAATGTTTCCAAGTGGGGGATATTGTGATGACCCTAAAATGAAATAAAATGAACTAGAGCTTCGCATGTGTTTTGGAAGTTGGTAATTTGTTAAAATGAAGAGTTTTGGCTTTTAAGGTTTAGTTTGAAGAGTTTTGAGGTCGAACGTCAAGGGATGACCATGACGTTCGGAGACTAGTCTTTTGAGCTAATATGTTTTACTGGTGTAATGTTGCCCTAGTCTTGCTTGAAAAGGGGTTTAAGGAGTCAACGTCAAGACACGTGTTAGACTCTATGCTATGAGACCTACTCTAGGTTGGTTGAGGGTGCTGGACAAGGAGCCAAGCCAAAAGGGGCAAACCTTAGCCAAAAGGCCAAGGTTGTCCCAAGTTGGCTGCTCAGTGCCACAAAGACCATGGGAACCACCACGACCAGTGGTGCCCTAGACGGTCCGTATTCTTGGGCGTGAAGCTCACTTGGTCCCAAGGGAGTCAAGGCAATATTGCCTAGGTGCTGCCTTATCTTCACGAGCTCCACCATGACTCATGGTGTGCACCACAGATCGTGGGAGCCTCTGTGAAGATTCCTTGGCCCCTTGAGGGCTTGACATGGTGGAAAGGCCCACTGGTCAAGGGACAACGGGCACCACCACGAGCCGTGGTGCCCTTCACGACCCTTCCAAGTGGGCGTGGTCCCTGACAGGGCTGCCTCAGTTAGGGACTTTTGGGTAATTTATTTTAAATGTTATTATCATGTGGGGTTGGTTTTAAATGGTTTATATCTTTAAAATAAATAGTTTTAAATTTTAAAACCTTCCTTTAACTTCTTATTTCAAAGACGCTAATCAAAAACCCCAAAGTTCTTTTCTCTATATATTTCTCTCAAGCTAAAGGAAGAAAAAGGTGTGGGAAGCAAGGGTTTCGAATTCACGGTTTCCTCCATCAAATTTCTTGGGAATTCTTGATAATAAGATATGGTGGCTCTTCATCTGGGACTCATCTTCATACTAGAGTTAATTTGATAGGATTTCACAATGTTTTCAAAAAGTGACTAAAACTTGTTTTGAATTCTACCAAGGGTTCTTGCATGAAAATGATTTGAAACGTTTGGATGTGGATAAATTGATGTTTGTTTGTGGTTTTTGAATGAAATACTCCACGAACCCTTGTTTTCTATAAAACCCTGAATTTTGCTATGAAATAGGTCTACTTCTATAAATTCAAAGTTGATGGAATTATGTGTACAGTGAATTGTATTGATATCTCTTGTGTTGTTTAATTTTTATTCATGATTAATTGTTGATAATGGGTTAATTAAGGATGGTAAGCCTTATTGGTGAAGTAATGGTGATTGCTTGGATTTTAGTGATTTTGACTATGGCTTTGGATTATGGTAGGAAAGCTTGAACTCTCTTTATTGAATTGATTGTTGTTGGTAGGTTGAATCCACCTTTGGTGGAAGTGTAATATCTTATTCTTGTGTGGTATTTCTGTGAATTGAGGCCATGAAGGGCATTATATTGGTGTTATTATGTTGTTGTTTTATTATACAAATATGAGGCTATATGTAAAGTCCTATATGAAGCTATATGTAGAGTTTGTTTGAATATATAATGTGATGATGTTCTAATGGTATTAATGTGATATTGTATAAAGTGTTATTATGCTAATGTGAAAGCATGTTTCTTTTGAAATGGTGATATGTGGTGATAATGGACTATGATGAGTCTTTATAAGATGATGCCATAGCTCATATGCTAGACTTGAGTATCTTGTCTTGTATCATGAAAGCTTGATTATATATGTGAATGTTTGGTTGGGGTATGACTTAGTATTGGAGCTCCTCGTATGAATGCTAAAATGGGAATTCTAGGCCAAGACTTGTATTGGTAGACTTAGGCATAGTGCCTTTTTAATGAGTGTAGCTTTACTAGGCAAATGTATAACCTTGAAGGATGGGCTTTAGGGTGATGTTCACTTCTTGAGTGAAATGATAGACTTAGAGATAGATGGAGCCGGAACGGCATGAGAATCTTTATCTTAGAAAGTCAAATGAGCTATCCTTATGAACATAGAATGGCTATGACTAAGAAATGGGGACTTTCTTGGGAAGAGGTACTATTATTTTGTTGAACTAGAAAATGAACCCTCTCTAGTACACATATGTGAATGAAATTACTCTATGGAAACCAAGGCTAAGCACCGAGTGGTTGTGGTTAGGATGGTGGCCTAGTTGAGCATGAGATTAGGCACCATGAACATCCTTGGACGTCTCTTAAACCATGTTCCAACATGGGTTGCTTTTAGTTCTAGCCTTGGTAAGTAGAGTAACCTCCACGGAGTAGGATAGACTCCGGATTACATACCTTCCTAGTGTGGTCTATGTCGGTTAAGGCCTATATCCATCATATGGGATGTTCACTCTAGCATTGGATAGGTTTAACAACGTGTACGTAGTAGTATGTGATGCTATCTACACATGGCACGAGTCGGCTTTGAAGATGCTAAAGTGAGTTCCCTAAGCCTTAGGGCTATTATGTTATTGTCCCCTATATGTTTGTGTGTCTCTCAAATGGTTTTATAAAGAATGTTGACTTAGTATGTTATAATGTAATGAGAAAACCCTTGTCCATGGTAACTCTTAGGAACACTTAAGTGTATATGAAGAGGTTGTATGGGCGGTCACTTCATTATTCACTTAAATGTGGCTTAGGGTCACTTGACATAGAGGCTTAAATAGTAAAGAAGGAATTACTTTGCTATCTTGTTTAAGTAGTGTACACTTGTGTTAATTGAGTTGTAAATGAGGTGAATATGGTCTTATTTATGAATGGTGACTTGAAACGTGGGTTTACGTTTGTGTGTGTAAAGGTTTGTTAAAGAAGGTCTTTAAAGCATACATTCCTTGTAAATGTTCGTTGTGCATGTTTTCTTGCATGGTCATCATTCTTAGTACTTATTGTACTAATTCCATATTTCTCTATTATTACAAGTGTAGGTGGTGGAAAGTGTGGAGATCCTTTGAGGAAGCTTGGGATATTGATTCTTCTCAAGAAGCTTGGTATGTCCTCACATATTCGAGGACATAGTTGTTATCTTTCTAGTATTTCCATTTAGAAATTGTATAAGACTTATATTTTTCTATTGTTGTAAAGGGCCGTGTCCCTAAGATGTTCTATTTTTGTCTAAGATGGTACATTAGACTTAGAAATTCTACTTTTTTACATTTGAAAGATTTTATGTGTATTATGGATTTGTTTTAAAAAGTGTTTTTATTCCTTATGGTTTTTATTACCGAATGCGATGATTGCTTGCTAAGGGCAAGTGTTAGACCTCAAAGAGATCGAGTACGCATGTTACAACTTGGGGGTGCTCTCGGGTCGTGATAGTCTAAGATGTTGTAGAACTTAATTGAGCAAGGAAGAAGTCTAGGGTGCAAGTAAGGACCTTTGCTAGCAAGATAGAGTGAAAGAAACCTTCTTCTTTGATGGACCTTTTAGCGATGGGGACTACTTGATCGCCCAAGTGATTTGGCGATACGCCAAACTGCACTTGGGGTCGCCTAGTAGGCTGTCTCTTAGGCCTAGATTCTGGAACAAAAGGCGAGCTAAGTTGTAGCTCGCCAACCAGGTTGGGTAATTGCCCATTAGCCACCTAGATGGCCTAGTGAACTGCCCATTTTGTGAGCCTACTGGAAAAATGGGTGAGCCAAGGGTGCACTTGCCGAGTCGCCCAGTGCCCTTGGCGAGCCATGAGGTTAAAAGGGTGAGCTTAGTTGGGTAGGGTGCAGAATTTTATGTTCAAACTTTGTGGGTCCTTAGTTCTTTCCAAAGTTGGGTCCTCATTATTCTATTCCTTTCATAGTAACTATAAAACCCTTTTTGACTTGAATTCTTTCAATTAAGTCACTACAAATTGAATTAAATGAAGACCCATCTACTCTAACAAATTTCTCTCTCTAAAATTCAAGAAAGAGAAGGGAGCCATTGAAGATAGGGTTTCAGGATTCAAGGTGTTTCTTCCTCAAATTTCGTGGGGATTCAATGGCAAGGTATGGTAGTATTCATCCTTGTTTAACTTTTCATTCAAGGAGCCAATTCCAAAGGTGATTTCTAGAATAAAAACCCTAGGGTTTTACTCAATCTCATGGGGTCTTTCATCAAACATTTTCAAATGGTTTCTAATGACATATTATGATTGTAATAGTGTTTATTTGATGATTTATGATAAAAATACTCTATGAATCCATGAATTCTTTCAATTTCTAAATTGTGCCTTTATGAAGTGGTTTTGTTGATTATGAATGAATGTTGATGGATTATGCATAAATTGATTTAGATTGTTGAATTATATAATTACCCATTCCTTAAATGTAGTAAATTGTTGGAGTGTAGGTGATTGGAGCCTCATGGCCTTGAAG